TGGACAGTGAATGGATAGTTGTAAATAGTACCAAGTATTGTGTAGTTTTATTGAATAGTGTGTAATAATAATAAGTTTGGATGCACCAGTATTGTGTATTGTGCTACGAGTTGATACAAGTGCTTCTAGTCTCAACAATGTAGCACTATTCAGTGTTAAAGGGTGCAAATTCTAATTATTGTTATTTTAAATCAATAACTCTTATTTCTACAGAGTTACTGATATTTTATTTCAATATAATATCAATATTATTATTATACACAATGGGATATCATTGAATAGTGTACAAGACTATTAATCTACTTCTTCCCACCTTTCCCTTTGTATCTTGCCTGGTACTGCTTCTGGAGTTCTTTCTTATTAGGAAAGTGAGAGTGTTTAGGATTGTCATAGTTCTGAAATGGAACCCTCTCTCTGGGCTTTGCTTGGCTTGGCAGTTCAACTGAAAGATTCTGTGGCAGCTTTGATTGGTCTCTGAGATCAGGGAGGAGAAGGCCAGGGGAGGGGCAGGAGGAGTGTGAAAGAATGACACAATGTCCCCGAGAGTTGATATGCCTTTTAGGGCATTACTGGGTACCTGTCGCTGGAACTGCTTCTCACACTCGTAAAGGATCTAATGATAAAAGATTAAATAAAAAATAGTTAAATAAAATTGTAAGACATGAGCATATAAAATTATTATTATGTACATATATGTATGGGCTACTGATGAATACAAAAATAATTATAATTAGTGACTGTTTTCCTGTGTATGCATGATGTGCATTTAGCAAGTTATTGATAAAGTATCATAAAGAAATTTAATTAGAAGCTCAAAAAACAAATCCAGTCCCAAATTATATCCCATAAGAAGCCTTCAGTTTGAGGTTTTTAGTATAACCAAAACATTAGAAATGAAAACATAGCTATCTTAAAACATCTTGCCAGCAAAATCCATTTATTATTATAAATTGAGCAAGCAAATGTTCAGTAATTATTATACTGCAAATTCAATTTTCCTTATAGCAATGTAACGGAATTTAATAATATACTCAATTTTGGCATGTTATTATTGTGTTATACCTTGTTTGGAATTAAAATATTCAGCTACACATTCACATATGGTGTATATATTGACGTATAAATTACATTCACATATTGATATTGTTTACATAGCTATTGTTTTACAATTAAAGTCTTGGAATATTTTTAATATTAATTTGTAAAAGTATTATTGTACACCATAACTTACTTTGCTCTTCATCTCCAAATTATGATCAATCCTATTTCTAGTCCAATCGTCATTAATGGACGGAGTTTGGGCTCTTTAGGAGTTATCGTCTTGTTGGGCAATAGACTAAAATGAAGACATGATATAGCATGATGAACAATAACTTGTACATATTCATTATAATAAGCAACCAATGCATTAATTAACAAAATTATGCATGATAACACTAATTATATAATTATTATTATTAAGGTTACCTTTCATTTTCATTCCCAAAGACAACTTTTCTAAAAAGGTCACTCAGACCAAACACTGAACAACTAGTGAACAAAAATCTGTGACAATGTTTGACAGAGGATTTGTGGGTGGTCCATATTATGCTATATCCAGTAGCCATTTTTAATTTAATTCAGTGCTGTGCTGACGAAACATGTGCAATGATTTTAATTTTACCATAGATATGTACCGGGAACATATCATGATGTACATGTATCGGCGCATAGTATACGGGCAGCCACAGACCAGCACTGTGATAATGTGATTTGTACTGCACAACCCGCTTTTTTTATGGTTTTGATAAGAGAAGGGACCAGGACTTGGACTTGGTTTTGTGATGCCGGGCTATGACTTGAAGATTAATGGTGAGTACGCCCGGATAGAGTCCCTCCAGTGCTCCTCATGTGAACTGATACTAAAAGACGCTATACAAAATGAAGATGGTCAAAGGTTTTGTAAGAGCTGTTGGGAAGAAGCAATGTATGATACATAATGCCTGTCAAAGGGGTGTGTTATCATGGGGTTTATCTCTCATATAGTTCCTCTAGTTCAAAAGCTCAAAAATTGGGGATTAATCCAAAGGAAGAAGTAAGTCTGCATCTCTTTTTTGTCCATTATAGTTGTGTGTAAAAGCAGTGTCTACCCATTATTCACATATAAATATACTAATTATTGTTTACAGATACACCCTGATATTGCTGTTAGAAGAGAGATAGATAGGCTCCCAGTTTTATGTGAAAACTATGAGAATGGTTGTGATTGGACTGGAAAGCTTAAAGACCATGAGGTTGGTAGCCATATTGAGATGTTAACCAAAGGGTGGGCTTTATGAGTACAGCTTACAGATTGTGGTTAGCAGTTAGGACAGCTGCAATAATGGTTTTTTGTTCCCTCCCAGCATGATCACAAAGCTATCTGTGAGTATAAGACCATGAGGTGTCCTCTTGGCTGTGGTAAGAGAATTCCTCTTGGAAAATTGAGAAAACATGAAAAAGAAGAGTGTCCGTTTCGACAAGTCCGATGTCAATATTGCAGAAGTGAATTATTAGCTGGAGACTATGATGTAAGAAGATATAACATGGATATATTGATTTTATAATTTACATGTTAAGGATCACCTTTTGAACTGTCCTAATGCTCCTTATACTTGTGGTCATTGTCACACTGAAATGCCTAGAAGTGAAGTGAGTTTGTGCTTTATATACCAAATGGAACAATGATCTCATCTATCATCATATTATTATTAGATGGTTAGTCACATGTTACTTAACTGCAGAGAACAATTGTCTTGCTCTGGATGTCAACAACAGGTAACTAGCTAGTGATACTAATAACAACATTCATTGAGTGTGTGTGGGGAATTTCCCTGGGAAAATACCATGCCTATCTAATTACTGTGCTATTTTTAATTATTTCAATACAGATACACAAAAGTTTATCAAAGCACCCAAATCCTATAAGTCATTTGGAAAATGATCAAGTCTTCATGCATCTCCAAATGCTTGGACTGGCTATGAAGAGATTGGAGACACATTTTAATGTAGCACTGAAGGATATTAAAAAAGAGCTTACAGAGATTGATGAAAGTAATTCTAAATTCAAGGATAAAATGATTAACGAGAGTTCCTCACTAACAAAACAAGTGAAACAACTCGAGGAACGTCTTAAAGGAGAACCTTCAAACCGAATCATAATAGAATTACAAGGAGAAGTTACAAAACTAGCTGAAAGAGTTAGTAAGGTTGAATCTGGAGCAAGCTACCGCCCTCTTAACCAGGGCTATGACGACATGTCAACAAGTGATAGCAAAATGGGAGGATCAATCGAGCACAAATTAGCAGAGCAAGAAAGGACGTCTGGGATGTTGAAAGTTCATCTATCAGAACTGGAGTTACAATTACAAGCTTCTCTTGCTTCTACCTACAATGGCTCATTCTTGTGGCGCATACCTGATGTCAAACGAAGGAAAAGAGATGCAATTGAGGGGAAAATTACATCAATCTATAGTCCACCTTTCTACACTGGACGAAATGGTTATAAGATGTGTATTCGTGCCTATCTTAATGGAGATGGAATCGGATATAATACTCATCTATCCATATTTTTTGTCTTGATGAAAGGTAAGAACCATAACTTGGTTTCTAGGTTTAAAAATACTTTTAAGTAGAAAGAGTAAACTAAATATACATTATTCATTAAAAGGAGGATTCATTTTTTATTGTTTTGCATTGTATGAATATTAGCTTCAGACAATTTTCCATTGGATGAATTTGTCTGACTGTCACGTTTACACTCTATAGGTGAATATGACCCATTATTGAAGTGGCCTTTTGATTTCAAAGTGTCTTTAATCATGGTGGATCAAGACCACAAGAGGCACATTGTGCAAACCTTCAAGCCGTCTCCTAGCTCAAGTAGCTTCCAGAGACCAAAATCAGACATGAACATTGCATCTGGGTGTCCAAAATTTGCCGAGTTAAAAATCCTCGACAATGAATCATACGTAAAAGAAGACGTTATGTATGTTAAAGCAATTGTTGATACTACTAGGATTTTTCACCCCTAAAATGATTTTTGCAAAAAATTTTTTTAGGTTGCTACCTAAAGCAGACCAACAAGATATTGGTATGTCTAGCATACCAGTTAGGCCTCTGTCTGTATATGCACATTTTGGAGATAATTCATCATTAAAATGTTCTTAAAAGTTAATAAATAGTACACTATAATACACAAGTTATGAGAATGCTATTAATTTGGCTTATGTTTGGATGCAGACTTGGGTCATCTCATTTTGAAGGTTTTCTGTTTTGTGGGATCGTCAGTGCTGCAGTAGGCTGACGAGAGGAAGACAAAGGAGGCTCAGTTAATGTGTTAGCATGCACTGTCCCCTCCTGGTGGTATGACAAAGATCTCTTAGTGCTCCTACGACGAGTGATAGTACCATACATTTCAGCTTGTCTTAGTTCCTAAAAGAAGGCGAGAGAAAACATTCAATGTTAGTCTTGTGGAGTTGAATGGTTTTACTTCTGATGTGTATTGATGTTCTTGAGGAGAGAGGTCAGGTGAGCTAACATACTGTCGCATAGCTGAAGGAGTCTTCTTAGAATTAGATTTATTATGAGTTGATGGAGTGTGGTCAGTACTAGCTTCCTTCCATGCATGGAGTAGCTGTCTGGTACTGTTTGCATGTGTTGGGCTCAGTACTGGAGGAGGTTGTGGTTTGGGATTAAGATTCATCATTGATGCCGAATACTGCATTGATCTATCATGAGTTGGAGCTGATACAGAATATGGTGGAGGAGGCTCGGGAAGCATGTTTAAAGGTCTTGAGCCAGGCATTGAGATGCTGCGATTCACAGGATAGCTAGTCAGGGTCTGCTCGGTAACAGAATGACGTGAAGATTTGTTGCTTCCCTTTCCAGTTGTGCTTCCTCTTCTTATAGTAGCATAAGGATTAGTAGCAGTAAGATAAGCATGATCATGTGCAGTTTTCATCCCTCCTTTGCTAGTTGGATGCAATAAACTCCGGAGTTGTTGAAGTACTTCATCTACCATGCCTCCACCAGTAGTGGTTGACTATAAAGTTATAAAAACTATCATTATTATTTTTTCCTTTACCTTTTCTTTCAGTTTATCTCTTAGCAGCTCTTCAAGTTGCTGCAAGATCACACTTTCTCGTGCTTGATTTGAAGTCTAAAATGTGTAAACATAAAACAATAAAATTTTAGCACATCAATCATGCATGAACATACAGAATGATCTCCAGTAGTAGCAGTAGCTGTTGCATTGTTCTCCACTATAAAATGAGATAGAGATACAGTCTACATCATAACCTAAGATACTATAATTACCTTTTCTTGGGCTAGTAAATGTATTGATTGATTTCTGAGACTTGTACACTTCTCTTGTAGTCCTTGTGAGTGCATTGGCTATACTCTCCTTGGAACAACTCCCCAGCTCCTTCTCAATGTCTTCAGTAGTAGAAGAAATAGGCGTAATTCCTTCCTTTTTGGCACTGCCACCACTCAAACGACGCTTGTCTGCTTTGAAAGCTTCCACCAGCCCACTGCTGAACCCTTTCCAGGTTAGTGAGCCATCTTGAGATGCTGCTGCTCTCCAGTAAGCTATGCAGCCTCTAGGAAGATGTGGTGGTAAGCTAGCATCATCAGGCCAATGCTTGCTCAGTGTCTCAAGCGGTACACGGCCATTAGCTCCAGCTAAACTCTCAAAGAGGAGCTTGAAATCGTAAGAATGGATGAGGCCAGAGGACATGTCTGCAAAAGAGGGCGTAGCTCGTGAAAATATGGGTGTAGCTGTATAATATGCACACATGCACCAAATATGAATAGACTACAAATCTGACAATGAATTTGTACACTTGACACACACAGTAGGTATAATAGATCAATTATTAAGCTCTGCTATTCTGTTATGAGTCTTTTGGCTTAGATTCAGACTCTTCACTAGCCTTTCCTTGCTCCTTCTCTTGCTCTAGTCTAGCCTCTTTGGCTTCTTCCACTAATTTCTTAATCTCTTCATGAAGGTGATCTCTTCTCTCCTCCAACACAGTCAGGGCAGAGTCCAGAGAGTCTAGCTGCTTGTCCAGCAGATCATACTCTGTTTTTAAAAGAGGGAAATAAGAAAGGGAGACAGTGCACACAAACCTTCAACGAAATTTTCAGCCTCTTCTTCATAATTCTCACTACCATTCATTTTGTATATGCAATAAAATGGGCGGGGTTTCGTTGGGCGTGGCTCATTTTAGCCCCGCCTTAATACACATGGCTAGCTCAGGCAAGAAGAGAGAGTTACTGGTTCTTTATGGAAGTCAAACAGGGACGGCTCAAGACGTGGCCGAGAGAATTGAGCGCGAGGGAAGGAGGCGAAGGTTCCATGTTCAAATTTATGCCCTGGATGAGTATGATAAGGTCTCCAAACTAGTAAATTCTCTTGATTTATTCCGCATCTTTTAATGCAGTCTGGATTGATAAACACTCCTGTCTGTGTCTTTGTGTGTGCTACAACTGGCCAAGGGGATCCTCCTGATAACATGAAACAGTTCTGGAGGTTTTTACTGAGGCGGAACCTTCCAGCAGACTCTTTATTGCACCTCCAAACTGCTGTAGTAGGACTGGGAGACTCATCTTATTTAAAGTAATGACAGGAGAGTGAGGAGGAGAGAGGGAGGGAAGAAAACTTCTACATATAGTTATAAATTATCTGTGGAAAATTTTAATGATGTAGAATTGTAGATCTACATGTAATTATATATTAACTGCAGGTAAGCTATTTATGATCTTGGTTTTAGGGCTTTTATATATTCTTGATGCATGTAGACAGTACAGTGTCTAGTTATGTGCTTGGCAATAGTCCAATGGTTGTTGTATTGATGCTAAAGTTAATTTTGTTTGATTATAAATTAAGCATTGGGGTGAACTGTGTTTTGCTACCATTACAGGTTTAATTTTATTGCAAAGAAGCTGTATCGCCGTTTGGGTCAGTTAGGTGCATCATTCCTCCTTCCTCCTGTTTATGGTGACGATCAACATGATTTAGGGTAAGAAACTATATGGTTTAAAGTTTAATGGTAAAAATTTTGCCAATGGCATAGAGAAGAACATGTACCAGATTATTGTTCATTATTATTATTATTAAATTTATATTTTGTAACTTCATTATCATTATAACTTAGTTTAATTTTTGCTTTACTTTGTTATAATACGTAATGACAAAAAATACTGTTATTATTATTATTTTAATTTTTATTGTTATTATCATCATTGCATGTTATATTATAGTCCTGATGCAGTAATAGATCCATGGTTGGTTGATTTATGGACTAAACTAGACACCCTATATCCTCTCCCACCTGGTTTATCCGTACTACCATATAAGGAAAGGTATATAGTCATTATGTGATATAAACTCATCATTCGTTCTTCCGTAGGTTGCCATCAAGATTTAATATTAATGCTTATTCTGCTCCGGTATCAAATACTGGTAGGCTCTGTTTATACTGTATTGAAAGGATTAATAAGAATGGAAGTAGCCTTTTTTGTAAAATACCCTGTACTACTGTGTATTATAGCTCATGGTCATTGGTCATAGTTTTTGGAGCAACTTTAAAAATTCGTAAAAAATCCAATTTTGATCTGAATCAGTTCAAACTTGCTGCACAACATAAGAACATGTATATGTATCATAAAAAATTATAAAAATGGAAAATTCTCTCCTAGTCATTTTTGGCAAAATTTGGCTAAAGACCCTGTACTATAGTACAGGGACTTTGGCTCGATTTTTGAGTAACTTTAAAAATTTTGTAAAAAAAATTGATTTTGATCGGAATCAGCTCAAACTTGCTATACAACATAAGAACTTGTATATGACTATATGTATCAGGAAAAATTACAAAAAATGAAGAATCCTTTCCTAGTCATTTTTCATGAAATACCCTGTACTATAATAGCCCATGGTCATTAATTTTGTCAAATTTTGGAGCAAGTTAGAAAATTCATGAAAAAATCAATTTTGATCAGAACCAGCTCAAATAGGACACTCACATCCAAAATGTGTATTAGAATTATCTTGTATACTAATAAATTCTCTTATTCACTTGATTTATTTCAAATTCTTTAGCCTTGAAGCCTCCTTCTCAAGCAATGCCTGCTCTACTGTTGGACAATTCTCGTCTTACTCCTTCATCACATTTCCAAGATGTGAGACTAATAACACTTGAAGGATCTTTCCCACAGTAAGCTTCTCTGCTACACAGAATAGAATACCTTTGACCTATATCTAGATTGTATGCAGTTGTAACTCTTTTTTGCATTTGTCCATTTCTTTGTTCCTCTTTCTCCTCTCCCTTCTCTCTCGTTCTTTCTTTCACAGCTACTCCCCTGGTGATGTGCTCATGATAGTTCCAGAGAATACTTCAGAGTCAGTCGAGAGGTTCCTTCAAGTGACGGAGATGACTCATCTTGCTGATCTCTCCTTGAATATAACATCAAATGAAGGTATGTATGTGATGCATAGATTAATAACCTGAGGTGTATGAAATTAATAATAATAATGATGATGATGATAATGTTAATAATAATGATAATGATTTTACTGTATCTCTAATCATTGATGCCCTAATTTAACTGCATTTGATAGCTAGGAAATAAATGTATCTCTTTGCAGCTTTATAAACAATTCAAGCATTATACGAAGTAATCGTATTTACTCTTTATAGAAGGTATCTCAGTCCCCCAGAGACTCTCCTCTCCTTGCACTCTAAGGACACTGCTGAGATGCTACTGGGACATCCAGTCTGTACCTAGACGCTCATTCTTTGAGATATTGTCATGGTTTGCCATGAACGAGTTAGAGAAAGAGAAACTTGAAGAGTTTGTTACTCCAGAAGGACAGGAAGAGCTGTATTCTTATTGTAACAGACCAAGGAGAACAATTATTGAAGTAATGGCGTCTATATTATATACTGTATGTACGGTATATTCTATCTTTTTATATTTATTTTACAGGTATTAATTGATTTTCCTTTGACTGCTACTAAGATCCCAGTCTCTTATCTCTTAGACTTACTTCCTGTATTGCAACCGAGAGCATTCTCTATTGCTTCATCAGCAACAGTGAGCCACTCATTCATGAAATAATAGTAATTGTGCATAAAGCAGCTAAGAAAAGTTTTCATTATTCATTTTCGATATTTTAATCATAGTAAAAGGACTATAATTTGTGAGATTAACATTACTTGTTTAAAATGTAAATAATCATTAATTATTTGAGTGCTTCCTTTTAGACTAATCCTCAACATGTTCAAATTTTGGTGGCAGTTGTTGAGTATAAAACTAAACTCTTTCATCCTAGAAAGGTAAGTTCTTTAAGATTCTATAAATACATCCAATTGTAAATGGATAAGTCACATAAGGGTTTATTTTGGCCAATAACAGCTGTTTGCGAATAGATTTTTTGTTGGATTTATTGATTCTTAATTATTTGGTAGTTAGTGAAAACTATCATTTATAACTATGAAACTAAAATCCTTTGCATCAATAGACCTCTTTATGCTTATAAAATAAAGCAGCAGTGAAGTATAGTCTATATTAATGCTTGCACACTCCAATTAGCTGATTCATTAACATTTGCTTGTGATTGATATGCATCAGTTGTAACAAGGATTGCCAGGTTGTACTTGTATCAACTGTTTTCATGCCCACTTTTCTTGTAACAGTTGTTCCAAACTGCACTACAATCAGATATGAAGGAGCTTCTCTTTGTTCTTGTCTTCTTGGGTGCTTCTCTATTACCTGTTTCTTCACAATGTCAGTCCTTGATAGAAGGAGAAGCAGGCTCTAGTTGCATGAGAGATGCAGTAAATACTGTTAGTACTGGTATTAATGGAGCTGATGAGCCTTCTTGTATTACTGATGATGGGAAGAGCTGTAAGTCTCTCCATTATACTTTGAATCAAATAAATTTACTAGCTGAGGCTAGTGCTACCAATACAACATGGATGGTATTAGTATCAAGTGATCTTATCTTGACATCAACACTTGCAGTATCATTTGGTATAGACTTCTCTTGTCTCATATTGTGTGGAGAAGGAGCTGGAGTGAGTAAACCAACAATATCCACTGATACTGCACTGTCTCCTGCCATACACCTGGAGTCTAATGAAGCAGCTCTAATCATTTCTAACCTGGCTTTTAACTTTTCTGTCACAGCAACAAAGTCTATTGCAAATACGTCTGTAATCCTTGCCAATTTCACAAACATAGCGATTATCGAATCCACAGTAACAGGGAGCAGTGATTGGTTGATAAGTGCTTATAGTGTTGTTGTATCTGATAGTTCTTTTTCTGATAGCTGCATTCAGTCAGCTGTACTACTAATACATGCTAATTCTGTCTCATTGACAAGTGTCAGTGTTGTAAATACATTATTTCAACCTAAAATTAGTGCTATTTATGGTAGCCGTGGTGCTTTTGCTGGTAGTGTAGTTATTATTCTGAATGGCTTAGGATCTTCAGCCCTCATCCAAGACTTGATTTTTTGGGGGGTAGACGCTTCTTTTAAATCTAATTTATCAAGTTTTATTTCCTCAGCAAGTCTATATGTATATGCTCCAGAAGTTGACTCCAGGATCAGGGTATTATCAAGTGAATTTGCTTTCACTCAACTGTTTTTTAATACCATCGTTACAGTTCTATCCCGAAGCAGCAACATCGTGTTTTCCAACGTCACGTTTCACGATCAATACCTATTTATAAATAATCACCTGATATTGATCATATTGGAATCAAGTAGTTTCATACACCCTGTATTTATACGGGACTCCTCTTTTTATCACTACAATGGAACTACACTTGGTTTAATTTGCGCTGGATGTCAAGCCACCATCCTAAACAACTCTTTCTACAAAGCTTATGGTCAAGTTTTTCTCACACGCAGTTCTACAGTCACTCTGAGTGGTATTAATATATCTTTAATTCAAAACGAGCCATTCTCTGATGCTGCTCTTATAAATTTGGAGTACGTTAATGTGAATTTTGTGGGTCATATAAATATATTAAACAACATTGGGACCCCAATTAGACTCACCTATTCGTACATGAACTTTCATGAAGGCTCAGATGTGCAGATAATGAACAATACTGCTAGGTTTGGAGGTGGATTAATCTTTGATGAAGGATCCATTTTTGATACAAATTCTTCCCCAAACGCTTTGCTACACTTTGAAAATAATTCGGCAGTTCTTGGAGGCGCCATTTACGTGAGGATGTATATAGCTGGTAATGTCTCATGCAGCTTCATAAAACAATATACCTCAACATTCCAAACCATAAACATTGTCTACAAAGGCAATTATGCTCTCAACAAAGGCAACGACATATTGATTGATTTTGGATCTGTTCCTCCTGCCGGCATTGAAATGTGCAGCTCTGGAAAGAACTACGAAACAATTTATTCAAAAATTGATATAGCCCCTATACAAAGTGGAACTTCCCATTTGACAGTGTTTCCTGGACAAAGTATTAAGTTTCAAGCCATCAGTATTAGTCTGTGTCAAGCAACAATGTATATAACATGCTCTGCTGATAACAAGATCAATTCTTGTCCTCCTGAGCTGATATCACTCTCTGGATCATCCAAAGTGGTCATACTAGAGGGGAATCATACAATCACAACTGATCTCAAGATCAAGACTGATATTAACGTGACACGGAGTGACACTAGCATTGATCTCAAATTCCAATCTTTTTGTGACTCGTCTCAATCAACTGTATCAGTTACGCTACTAAACTGTTCGCTTGGTTTTACATTTAACGAGACGGAGAGGATGTGTCGTGGCTGTGATGATTGCGACTCTACTTTCTATCAGTTCTCACTGGACGAGGGTATAGCTTGTATACGCTACAACTATTGGTACGGGAGTCACGATGGGCAAACGATCATTGAGCCTTGCTTCTATCCTTATTGCAAGTTTGGAGACAACTGCCCACTGCGAAACAGCAACTTGTTTAAGCTCCCTCTAACATCTAACGAACAATGCCTTTTTAATAGAGGTGGGATTATGTGCAGGCAATGTAAAGATGGCTACAAGTTCAGCTATCTTGGAGTACAGTGTGTTGAAGACAGTGGGAATTGCTCAGGGAATGTATTAGGCCTGTTACTATTGGCTATAGTACTTAATGTATTAATTGGATTTTTTTGGATGTATGCAATAAAATGTAGGGGCTCTTTAACATTAGGATTCAGTTTCGGTGCCATTTTGTTTGTTGCTTATGGACGGCTGATACAATTTGGAATTGTCAAAGAATTCGAACCTATAGAAGTTCTCATGTCTTTTCTTTCTCTCATTATTCTAGATAACAGTATTTTAGGGTACATACCAGCCTGTACTCCTGCAACTACCGGCGTGGAACAACAGCTATATAACTACATTGGGCCACTGGTCATCATTTGCATGATCATTACTATAGTTATCATAGCAAATTCTTGTCCAAAATGTCTAAGCAAAGTGGACCTGATACCTAATCCAATACAGACCCTCTCCCTCTTAGCTTTGGTTACTTTCTGGTCTATAGCTAGTACAAGCATTATGATTTTGCTACCGATTAAAATTGGTGATAGCTATCGGTTTCTTATTGATCCAAACATTCAAATTTCCTCCTATTACACTCTAGCGTGGCTCATAGCCATTCCACTCCTCATTATTGTCATAGCTATCATTGTTTTTATGGCAATCTCACCATTCCTATCAAGGAAATTCAACACTGTACGCATTAAACCAATACTTGATGTGTTCCACTCTTCTTTTAAAGACAAATGGCGTTGGTATTCCTCCGTTTATTTTGGCACCTGGATCATCTCGATTTTTTTGTTTAACTTTACTGAAACTCAAGACCTGGCATTTACAATACTACTAGCAGTCTCTGTTTTTCAGTTTGTTTTCCATCCTTACGCCTATAAGTCCCTCAATATCACAGACACACTGATAATAATAGATCTATTTACTCTTGTCCTGTTAGTTGGGGAAAGAATTGACCCTTCTTCTATAGCTATGCACAAAAGTAGCTACATTACTTTTTTGGTCTACGTCTTGGTAATCCTACCTGTCTTGTACTACGTTTTCAATGGGGTTATGGTCAATTCGTGGAAACTCCAATGCACCCGTAACATATGGCATAAAATTGTTAAAAAAATGAAGTCAAGATCTGATTCTGATAAAGAGGCTGAGAGAATTGACAACATTACAGTTAGTGGACATTATAGGTTGACTCAGGATCAAGTTACACGTACTACTGTTAATCTCTCCACTATGAATAGGAAACCTGAAGACTTCTCTGCTTATCGTGAGAGCCTTATTGACAGTACTCGAGTCTGAACAGATTGACAGTTGTGTCAGTGTCAGTTGTTTACAAATAATTTTTATGCTAGATCCATTGACTCTTGTGTGAAATAATTATTTGATAATTAGTGAAAACTATCATTTATAAAAGCTAAATTTCTTTGCATCAATATACCTCTTTATGCTTATAAAATGAAACAGCAGTGAAGTATAGTTTATAATGCTTACACACTCCAATTAGCTGATTCATGAACATTTGCTTGTGATGAATGGGAATCAGTTGTAGCAAGCATTGTCTGGTTGTAACAACTGTTTCAATGCCCATACTCTTCTTGTAATAACTGTATTCCTGTACCTAGAATTACGTAGATATGAAGGAGCTTCTCTTTGTTCTTGTCTTCTTGGGTGCTTCTCTATTACCTGTTTCTTCACAATGTCAGTCCTTGATAGAAGGAGAAGCAGGCTCTACTTGTGTGAGAGATGCAGTAAATACTGTTAGTGTTGGTATCAATGGAGCTGATGAGCCTTCTTGTATTACTGATGATAGGAAGAGCTGTAAGTCTCTCCATTATACTTTAAATCAAATAAATTTACTAGCTGAGGCTAGTGCTACTAATACAACGTGGATAGTATTAGTATCAAGTGATCTGGTTTTGACTTCAACACTTGCAGTATCATTTGGTATAGACTTCTCTTGTCTCATATTGTGTGGAGAAGGGGATGGAGTGAGTAAGCCAACTATATCCACTGATACTGCACTGTCTCCTGCCATACAACTGGAGTCTAATGAAGCAGCTCTAATCATTTCTAACCTGGCTTTTAACTTTTCTGTCACAGCGACAAAGTCTATTTTAAATGCATCTGTAATCCTTGCCAATTTCACAAATGTAACGATTATTGAATCCACGGTAACAGAGAGCAGCGATTGGTCGATAAGTGCTTATAGTGTTGTTGTATCCAATTGTTCTTTTTCTGATAGCTACATAAAGTCAGCTGTACTGCTAATCCATGCTAATTCTGTCTCCCTGACAAGAACTAGTGTTGTAAATACATTATTTCAACCTGAAATCAGGGCTATTTATGGCAGCCAAAGCGGTCCTACTGGTAGTGTAGTTATTATTCTAAATGGCTCAGGATCTTCAGCCCTCATTCAAGACTCAATTTTTTGGGGGGTAGGTATTTCTTTTAAATTTAACTCATCAAGTTTTATACTCTCAGCAAGCCTGTATGTAAATACTACAGAAGTTGACTCCAGGATTAGAGTATTATCAAGTGAATTTGCTTTCACTAAGCTGTTTTATGAAACCATTGTCACAATTTTATCCCGAAGCAGTGATATTGTGTTTTCCAACGTCACATTTCACGATCAATACCTATTTATAAATAATCACCTGATATTGATTATACTGGAATCAAGTAGTTTCATGCACCCTGTATCTATACGGGACTCCTCTTTTTATCGCTACAATGGAACTGCACTTGGTTTAATTTGCACTGGATGTCTAACCACCATCCTAAACAACTCTTTCTACAAAGCCTATGGTCAAGTTCTTCTCACACGCACTTCTAAAGTCACTCTAAGTGGTATTAACATATCTTTCATTCAAAATGAGCCATTTTCTGATGCTGCTCTTATAAATTTGGAACACGTTTATGTGAATTTTGTGAGTCATATAAATATATCAAACAACATTGGAACCCCAATCAAACTGACCTTTTCATACATGAACTTTTACAAAGGTTTAGATATGCAGATAACAAACAACACTGCTAGGTACGGAGGTGGAATATTCTTTGACGAAGGATCCATTTTCAATACAGATTCTTCCCAAAATGCATTGTTATACTTTGAAAATAATTCGGCTGTTTTAGGAGGCGCCATTTATGTGAGGATGTATATAGCTAGTGATGTCCCATGCAGTTTTATAGAACACTACATCTCAACATTCCAAACCATTGACATTGTCTACAAAGGCAATTATGCTCTCAACAAAGGCAATAACATATTGATTGATTTTGGATCCATCCCTCCTGCAGGCATTGAAATGTGCAATTCTGGAAAGAACTACGAAACAATTTATTCAAAAATTGATATAGGTCCTATACAAAGTGGAACTTCCCATTTGACAGTATTCCCAGGACAAAGTATTAAGTTTCAAGCCATCAGTATTGGTGTGTGTCAAGCAACAATGTATATAACATGCTCTGCTGATAACAAGATCAATTCTTGTCCTCCTGAGTTGGTATCACTTTCTGGGTCATCCAAAGTGGTCATACCTCAAGGGAATCATACAATTACGACTGATCTCAAGATCAAGACTGATATTAACATAACACACAGTGACACTAGCATTGATCTCAAATTGCAATCATTTTGTGACTCATCTCAATCGATTGTATCAGTTATGTTGCTAAACTGTTCGCTTGGTTTTACATTTAACGAGACGGAGAGGATGTGTCGTGGCTGTGATGATTGCGACTCTTCTTTCTATCAGTACTCACTGGATGAGGGTATAGCTTGTATACGCTACAACTATTGGTATGGGAGTCACGATGGGCAAACGATCATTGAGCCTTGCTACTATCCTTATTGCAAGTTTGGAGACAAGTGCCCACTGCGAAACAGCAACTTGTTTAAGCTCCCTCTAACATCTAATGAACAATGCCTTTTTAATAGAGGTGGGATCATGTGCAGGGAATGTAAAGATGGCTACAAGTTCAGCTATCTTGGAGTACAGTGCGTTGAAGACATTGGGAATTGCTGGGGGAATGTATTAGGCCTGTTACTATTGGCTATAGTACTTAATGTATTAATTGGATTCTTTTGGATGTATACAATAAAATGTAAGGGCTCTTTAACATTAGGATTTAGTTTTGGTGCCATTTTGTTTGTTGCTTATGGACGGCTGATACAATTTGGGATTGTCGAAGAATTTGAGCCTATAGAAGTTCTCATGTCTTTTCTTTCTCTCATTATTCTTGATAACAGTATTTTAGGGTACATACCAGCCTGTACCCCTGCAACTACCGGAGTGGGACAACAGCTATTTAACTACATTGGGCCACTGGTCATCATTTGCATGATCATTACTATAGTTATCATGGCAAATTCTTGTCCAAAATGTCTAAGCAAAGTGGACCTGATACCTAATCCAATACAGACCCTCTCCCTCTTAGCTTTGGTTACTTTCTGGTCTATAGCTAGTACAAGCATTATGATTTTGCTACCAATTAAAATTGGTGATAGCTATCAGTTTCTTGTTGATCCAAACATTCGCATTTCCTCTTATTATGCCCTAGTGTGGCTCATAGCCATTCCACTCCTCATTATTGTCATAGCTATCATTGTTTTTATGGCAGTCTCACCATTCCTATCAAGGAAATTCAACACTGTACGCATTAAACCAATACTTGATGTGTTCCACTCTTCTTTTAGAGACAAATGGCGATGGTGTTCCTCTGTTTATTTCGGCTCCTGGATTGTCTCAATAATTTTTTTAAACTTTACTGAAACTCAAGACCTGGTGTTTACAATGCTTCTAGCAGTATCTATCGTTCAGTTTGTTTTCCATCCTTACGCCTATAAGTCCCTCAATATCACTGACACGCTGATAATAATAGATCTATTTGCTCTTTTCCTGTTAGTTGGGGAAAGAATTGACCCTTCTGCTATAGTTATGCACAAAAGTAGCTACATTACTTTTTTGGTCTACGTCTTGGTAATCCTACCTGTCTTGTACTATGTTTGCAATGGGGTTTTTGTGAATGTGTGGAAACTCCAATGCACTCGTAGCATTCAGTATAAAATTGTAAAAAGAATGAAATCAAGATTCGATTCTGATAAGGAGGCCGAGAGAGTTGATACCATTACAGTTAGTGGACATTATAGGTTGGTTCAGGATCAAGTTACACATAATACTGTTCATCTCTCCACTATGAATCGGAAACCTGAAGACTTCTCTGCTTATCGTGAAAGCCTTATCAACAGTGATGAAGACTGATTGTGTGTGATTTGTTCACAATAATTACATTTTATCTTTTTAATTTTTGGAGTTTTGTTTTTTATTTTTTAGGGCTCTCCCTTTCTCCCCTTTTTTGTTATTGTTGTTGTGGTTGTTTTTATTTACAATAATAATAATAATTTTTAAAAATTTGTAATAGTAATAATAATAATAATAATATTTTAAAGTTTGAAAACAGCTTAAACTCTTCATATGAGTGTGAACATTGATAAAATAACAACTGATATCTATATTTATTACTGTGTTTGCAAACTTTATGTCCTTGATACAATTCAACCATCCACTCCCTGCCAAGTGTGTGCTAATAATATCTAAAATGACCATTTAACTTAGTTCTGTATTCCAACCACATTCTCCATTACAATTGGCATCATTCACACTGCAGTATGCCTGTACAGTATATCAGTATGTGTTTTTATACTTTATTTTTTATTTTTGATGAAAAGAATGAGATTTTAGCCAAACAAAGAAGCCAGCGAGTCAGCCACACTTGCCTATGGTAGTAAGGAACAGGATAACCACATCATTACATCACTACTAGGTCTTGGAAGAATTGTTGATATAATTGATTTTAGCTCAACAGTAATGATAGTATTACTCTTGAGTCTTCCTCGATCCCTAGAGGCTTCTATTGAACTAGCTTGTGTGACTAATAGGGGACCTTATTAACATGGGAGTATAGACTCATCACTACTAGCAAGCAAACACCATGACCATCAGTATAGCAATAATAATGAACATACGGATTGTATATGCATGTACATGTATTCCTGGCATGATGGATATTTGGGTTTGGGAGGAAGTAGACTAATGTTGATTAATTGTAAGACTTGGCTGCTGCAACTAGTGGTAACTTCTTTGTAGTTTGCATCATGTAATTAGCATGTACCATGTCAATTTGTTTTTCCATGTTCTATTGATGTTTGGGTATACATTGATTACTCATCTGATGTCTCCCACACTTGTTTACATGGTATTTACATGGCATGATAATTATTTATTATTATTATTATTATTATTATTATTATTATTATTATTATTATTATTATTATTATTATTATTATATTGCTGGGGTCGTTTTTACACTATAGATGCATAACTTCTTTTTAATTTACATGTCAAACCAATACGTATAATTTATGGCATGTACATCACACAACACACATACACACTCTGTTATACAACACATTATTATAATCATCATTTAATGTAAAACTCTATTATATCAACTGGAGTGTCTTCTCCAGTATGATAAACATTACTGCAGACTCTCAACTCAATATCATCAGTGGTTTGTGTATCCAGTGAGCGATAGAACCAAGGCATCTTAGAGTTAGCTGGACAGCAGGTAGACTCTGGGCCATCACATTGCTGTCCATCCCACAATGGATCAGTAGCATAGAGATCACCAGAGACTGACTGATTTGATTTTACTCCAGACTCACAGTAATAATGAGACCCAATGAATGTTGCTGCAGGATTTCTAGAGCCATCGAATCCAGTGTTGCATGGACAGCCATCATAGTCTAATTGGTTTTCTTTGTAGCCTCCTGCATACGTCCAGATATGTTTGCGAGGATTACTTCCATGAGTAATGGATACACCATCGACATAAGGACTGTTTATATTACTTAAACTGTAGAATGCGTCGATGTGATAAAATTGATACCCTCTAACTTGTCCACAGACTTTATTGTATGTTAGCCTGTTAGATGAGAAGCTAGCTGAAGCACAGCCATAACCTGCTCTGCCACACAGTGGGTGATCAATGTTATTGAAATTCTTTTGTGTTAGTCCAGTAGGACAGGTAGCACCAGACTGGGTCATATTAAGATATCCTACTCTAGTCCAACCACCTTCTCCATCACAATTGATACCATTCATATCACAGTATACCTGTATAGTATATCAAGGATAGAAAATGTATAATTATATCTATTATACCTCAACTTGAGACTCTCCATCAGGATATATAGTATAAGTACCAGTAGTAGTATTGCCTTTATTAAACCAGCTCAAGCAATCTCTTTCTAATTGTCATAAGATGTTTTATGGATTGCTACACAATAGCTGTATACCTGGACAAGACTTTGGTTGTACTCTTGGACAGAGAATGTATCTATTGATGCCATTCCCTTTGATAGTAACACTCCTTCCCAAGTTATCAATAACACAACAGACTCTTAGATATAATAAGGACCCAGAGGTACCTTGATTAGTACAGTCAGTAGACATACAATAAGATCCACTGGCCGTACTATTAGAAAAGATCAGGATCATCAGCAACAGCAACATAGCCTTTGTTTACCAAGTTTACTGACCTTGCCAACTATTAGTTTATCATTGTAATACTGTAGTAATATTTAAAATTTATTAAAATTGTAGTCTTGCCCCCACCCCTTTGTCACTAGTTGCAATAGTATCCTCGCAATTAGAAGAATGACACTATGAGTTATGTAAACAAAACAATAGTACAGTGCATTTTCAGAAATTAGTTAATTGGCTATAACGCAAAGTTTTTTGTCTTGTTTTTTTGTTAGGGTGTTTGCACTACCTGGCTGGCATCACTGGATCCTTGGTAAGAGCTAATGCTCAATTAGTTTTAAATTGTGTCCAATTAGCAGAGAACAGCACTATTTATCCGTCTGGCTAAGCAAGGGAACGTTCTCTTTTCCTTCATCTGGACATATCATTATGATTGGACCTGGTATATGAATATTCCAATAGATACATATTGATATGTGTAACTGTGTATATTTATATTGCACCAGTAGTATACATTCATCGAATTTTAATTTTTATGCCAAATGGTAATGATTTCACTTTTTATGTATTAGGGACTGGTTGTGCTCCCTTTAGATCATTCATTAATGAGAAATCCAGCTCATCTGTTGTACCTGGCCAGCCTTGTAAGTTCTTTATGACAATACAAAGACAAAATGTCTGCTCACTCACTTTTGCTCCTAGTTCTTTCTCTCTTACACTTCCTCCATTAATCATGTCTCTATAATATGTTGTTCTTTGACTCACTCTCTCCTTTCTCAATTTATTATTACACGCAGGTCATTTAATGTTGTTTTTTGGTTGTCGCTCAGAGAGAGCTGATTATTTCTTTAGAAGTGAATGGGAGTCATTAGCTGCTTCAAATAAACTCCTAATATTCACTGCTTTCTCAAGAGATCAAGTAAGCAAGACTCAGTATTACTTATATAATTGTACTATAGTTTCCTTGATACTAGTATAAAGCTTCAAAATTAGACTATACTTAATTAACCTTTATGTTATTGTAAGTGATTTTTTGGCTTCTACTAATTAAATTATTGCTCATTTGCGGTAGCATTACTTTGCTTATAATTAGTGTGCATGTATGTGTACATTACTCAAGCATATTAGGAATAGTAATGCATAGTACAGTACATGTGAATATACAGGGTACACATAGATTGTTGATAGAAAGTTTATGTGTATAGGGTTTATTTACATCTACTCTGTATTGTACCTTATGGGGTATACCCTCTTCCTCTATGTAGTATGTTTTACTATCAATGAAGGAGTTCATGTTTCGAATGATGTAGTACATTATGTTATGGTTATAGGAAATGAAAGTATATGTTCAGGATAAGATCAAAGAGCAGAAGGAGCTTGTGTGGGACTGGCTTGAGAGACATAATGCCTATGTCTTCATTGCTGGGTAAGCTGTTATTGTAGCTCCAAAATCACGCCCAATTTTTATTACATTTTCTGATACATATTGATGTCCTTATGCTATGTGAAAAGTTTGAGCCGATTCTGACTTCATTTTACTGAGTTATTGCCACTTTTAAAAATATACCAAAATCTGAAAAATGCCCTGTACTATAGCCCATGGTTTTTTCCAAAAATTAGCTCCGAAATGACCCCCAATTTTTATTCCATTTTCTGATACATATTGATGTCCTTATGGTATGTGAAAAGTTTGAGCTGATTCCAACTTGATTTTACTGAGTTATTGCCACTTTTAAAAATATACCAAAATCTGAAAAATGCCCTGTACTATATAGCCCATGGTTTTTTCCAAAAATTAGCTCCGAAATGACCCCCAATTTTTATTCCATTTTCTGATACATATTGATGTCCTTAAAAGTTTGAGCCAATTCCGACTTAATTTTTTCAAGTTATGACCATTTTTTAAAATCAGCCATTTTCTAAAAAAATCCCTGTACTATAGCCCATGGTTTTTTCCAAAAATTGGCTCTGAAATGACTTCCAATTTTTATTACATTTTCTGATACATATTGATGTCCTTATGCTATGTAGAAAGTTTAAGCCGATTTCAACTTAATTTTTCAAGTTATGGCCATTTTTTAAAATATGCCATTTAAAAAAAAATCCCTGTACTATAGCCCATGGTTTTTTCCATAAATTGGCTCCAAATTGACCCCCAATTTTTATTACATTTTCTGATACATATTGATGTCCTTATGCTATGTAGAAAGTTTGAGCCGATTTCGACTTAATTTTTTCAAGTTATGGCCATTTTTAAAAGTATGCCAAAATCTGAAAAATGCCCTGTACTATATAGCCCATGGTTTTTTCCAAAAATTGGCTCCAAATTAACCCCCAATTTTTTATTGCATTTTCTGATACATATTGACGTTCTTATGCTACATTAAAAGTTCGAGCTGTTTCTGACAAATAATTTTTTAGATACACATTAAAGCATTTAGAAAATTTAAATGCCATGCACTGTAGTACATAATATTTTGCCCCAAGGAAATTGTTACCGTTTTCGATATGTGGGCCAGCACTAAGACTACTTTTAACGACTATGGAACCTATTTTTTAAATTTGACTTTGTCTCTCTCTCTTTCCCTTGATAGATCTGCTAAGAGGATGCCTATTGATGTTATTGATGCACTTAAAGAACTCATTACGGAATGTAGCAACCATAAACTGGATGCTGAAGAATACATAAAATCAATGGAAGCTCATAAACGACTCCAGCTAGAGACGTGGGCTTGAATCATCATGCCAGACAGCAATGTGTAAATGAGTATATATGATGTAAATGTGTAAATAAGTATGTGTATACTATTTGTAGTCTGCACTACGCGGTTGCAAATTTCCTGTGAGGTGATTATAGTTGTTGGCATTTTTAATTTTGTGGTTCAATCAAAACTTTTTTGGCTGTGAAAGATTAATTTTGGCCGTATATCGTGCAATCAAGTAATATGCTTTTGAAATTTTTAGTGACATAATAATTATGAACAATATAAAAAATAAAATGTGCATGACATTAAATCTAATTTAGATTAGGGTGATTATTTTCTGTCTTTGATGTTACGTAGCCACAATGCTGGTATATTAAGTTTTGGATTATCAGAAGCAGCATCAAGAAAGACCATGATCAGTGTAAAATCAATGCACAGAATAATAATGTGCATAAAGAAACCTTGCAAGACAAAGTAACCAACAGTATCAATTATCAGACCAGTAATGTATGTTAGCAGTGAGTAGGTAGCATTAAAAGAACTGTTTTGAATCCCGTATGCTGTAGCCAGATATTTTTTGTCTATTATGAGAGGAATCAGTACCACAAAGGATGGCCCACAAAGAGTATATGAAAGAGAATAGAATGGTCCTGCTATGAGTGGAATGTAGCTCTCTCCTTTACTGAACATAAAAATGAAGTACGGTGGTAGAGTAGTTGTAATGAGAGCTGTTAGCAGCCAATACAAATGAAAGCCAGTTCTATTCATTAGGAATCCAACAAATGGTATGAGTATGACTCCACTCCCATACAAAAGGCTATTGGCTAAGTTAGCCATTTGCATTGAAAGGCCATACTTTTGTATAAAGAAACCCTGTCCGATTCCAACAAAAGAATATATGGTAGGAACATAGGTGACATAGACACCAACAGCCAACCAGAATGACGGGGGAAAATGCGTAAAAATTTTTGTAATGCCACAAACATGTGTTGGTGCAGGATTTGACGATTTAATGGTTGATTTTTCTTTAAAATAGTCCATAAGAAATATTATTATAGTGAATATTAGTCCAATTATCATGAATCCAGCAGCAGTGAGTAGTGAGACACCCAGTCTAAAAGTAGGACTATCAAATACTGAGAGACTGTCATATATTAACTGAGGAAGAAGTATAGCTAATGTTCCTCCTATTCTACCAAATCCAATATCAATTGCAATAGCTAGTGATAGGTCCTCTTTGAACCAAATTGCTTTAAAAGCATTATCGATTACTAAGACTAAGTCATTACCGATTCCAATAAAGAAGCGTCCAGCCAGCATTATGAAATAATTATTAAATATTCCTCCTAGACTCCATACAATCTGACCCATTAGTATAGAACTGACAACAATGAGTAGTCCCAGTCTCAATCCCACTAACTTGTCTATTAGTACACCTCCAACTATGCCCAAAAATGTACTAGACCAGGCAGAAACAGAAAAGAGTAGAGCATACTCAGCAGTAGTGACTCCCATCACTTTAATAATGGTGTCTTCTATCCCACTGGGTAGCTCAAGGCAATAATTTGCCAAAAGGCGTACAGAGGAGAGAAAGAAAAGAAAGAGATACCTGTACCTCCAGTTGCTGCATCTTTCATGCATTATTGAATGGTGTCATTGCGTGGGTGTCAACTAAGGCTTATTATAATTTTTTAATAACTACACAAATTTTATAAGAACTTGGAACAATTATAACTTTACATACACTATTAATGTTAGGTATAGCATTAATTCAAAGTTGCATGAGATCATTGTGATGATTTTTTGTCTTTTATTTGACCATATTTTCGACGGAGCCATGATGCTGGTACATTAAGTATTGGATTATCAGAGGCAGCATCAAGAAACACCATGATCAATGTGAAATCAATGCAAAGGAGAATAATGTGTATGAAGAAACTTTGCAAGACAAAGTAACCAATAGTATCAACTATCAGACCAGCAATGTATGACATCAATGAGTAGGTAGCACTATAAGAACCTCTCTGAATCCCATATGCTGTTCCTAAGTATCTCTTTTCTACTATGAGAGGAATCATAGCTATGAATGACGGTCCACAAAGAGTATATGAAAGAGAATAGAATACTGCTGCTACAAATGGAAGGTAACTCTCTTCATTGCTGAACGCGAAAATGAGCAAAGGTGGTAGAGTAGTTGTAACAAGAGCTGTTAGCAGCCAATACAAGTGGAAGCCAATTTTACTAATCAAATATCCGGCAATTGGTATGAGTATGACTGCACTACCAAACAGAAGGCCATTGGCTAAGTTAGCCATATCCGTTGAAAGGCCATACTTTTGTATAAAGAAAACCTGTGCAATCCCAACAACAGTATACATGAGAGGAAGATAGGTAACATTAACAGCCATAATCAGCCAGAATTTAAGGGGGAATTGTTTAAAATGGTTTAAAATAGATACTGGCTCAGGCTTAGATACCTTTGTTGCTGTTTTTTCCCGTAAGAAGTCCATAAAAAATACTATTAAAGCAAATATTAATCCAATTATCATGAATCCAGCAGCAGTGAGCAGTGAGGCACCCAGTCTAAAAGTAGGACTATGAAATATTGAGAGACTGTCGTATATTAACTGAGGAAGAAGTATAGCTAATGCTCCTCCAGTTCTGCTGAATCCAATATCAATTGCAATAGCAAGTGGCAGGTCCTCTTTGAACCAAATTGGTTTGAAAGCATGATCAATTACTATGACTAAGTTAGTACTAAATCCGACAACGAAACGTCCAGCCAGCATAATGAAATATTATTGAATATTCC